CTCAGCCGCCCACTTCAATCGCCTCCAGCAGCCTTCGCCCTCGTCGCCCCTCTCGCCGCCTCGCACCCACGGTGGGTTCCTGCCCCTCTACAATTCTTTGCATTCTTGCCTGCACTTCGCGTGTATCTGCCCTACTTCTGTTACAGGTATCCGTGTTAGTGTTTACATCATTTGTTTTTTTCTCTCGTTTTACCTTTTATTTTTTGTTCATTGCCGGTCATGCGATCCTTTTAGCTGTGGCGTAGTAATAAGGGTCTTCAAGAGTGGCTCAGTGGAGGGGTAAGGTGTTAGTGAGTCCCCTCTGTCGAGCTTGCGGATTGATTGGTGGGTCAAGGTGGTTGAGCCTGCGGCGGTGGATGGTTTGCAGCTCTTTGTTGCTAGCCTTTGGGAGTATCGTTTCACCTAGATACTATGGCTAGTATTCTGTTGAGTTCTTGCATATACTCCGACTCTGTCCTTGCGGGTGTTATCCCGCATGATCCCCTGTAGCAAGTTAAGCTAACTTTTGGTTTGTTGGGGTCTGTCAGCTTGACCGACATGGGTAAGGAAAAGGTACACATCAACATCGTGGTCATTGGCCATGTCGACTCCGGAAAATCGACCACCACTGGTCATCTTATCTACAAGCTGGGAGGAATCGACAAGCGTGTGATTGAGCGTTTCGAGAAGGAAGCGGCGGAGATGAACAAGCGTTCTTTCAAGTATGCGTGGGTGTTGGACAAGCTCAAGGCCGAGCGTGAGCGTGGTATCACAATTGACATTGCTCTGTGGAAGTTCGAGACAGTGAAATACTACTGTACTGTGATTGATGCTCCCGGACATCGTGATTTCATCAAGAACATGATCACGGGTACCTCCCAGGCTGACTGCGCGGTTCTCATCATTGACTCTACCACCGGAGGTTTTGAAGCTGGTATTTCCAAGGATGGACAGACCCGTGAGCACGCTCTGTTGGCTTTCACCTTGGGAGTGAAGCAGATGATATGCTGCTGCAACAAGGTTAGGCAAGCTAGATGTACTCTGAATTCGGTCTCGTTACCTAAAGAAGAATTATGTTATGTTATCTGGTCCGTGAGCAGGGTCTAGGTTGCCCACTTGTCTTTGTGCGCAGGGTCTAGATTGCCCAAGTCAAACCGGACGAGTTGCCTCTCTAATTTTATTGCTATGTTCTTACTTGCAATGGAAAACTATATGCCCGGTCTACGGATGTAATCTGTTTCTCACAATGCTCGTTACTTGCTTGTCAGATGGACGCTACCACGCCGAAGTACAGCAAGGCTCGATTCGATGAGATCAGCAAGGAGGTGTCGACTTACCTCAAGAAGGTCGGTTACAACCCCGACAAGATCCCCTTCGTGCCCATCTCAGGGTTCGAGGGTGATAACATGATCGAGCGATCGACGAACTTGGACTGGTACAAGGGCCCAACCCTTCTCGAGGCCCTGGACAACGTGTCAGAGCCCAAGAGGCCGTCCGACAAACCCCTGCGGTTGCCCCTTCAGGATGTCTACAAGATTGGAGGTATTGGAACTGTGCCAGTGGGACGTGTGGAGACTGGAATCATCAGGCCGGGTATGTTGGTGTGCTTTGCACCCACTGGACTGACGACTGAGGTGAAGTCGGTAGAGATGCACCACGAGTCGATGCCTGAGGCTCACCCCGGAGACAACGTCGGGTTCAACGTGAAGAACGTGGCGGTGAAGGACCTGAAGAGAGGATACGTGGCTTCGGACTCGAAGAACGACCCTGCGAAGGAAGCAGCCAACTTCACTGCCCAGGTTATCATCATGAACCACCCGGGACAGATCGGAAACGGTTACGCGCCGGTGCTGGACTGCCACACCTCTCACATTGCTGTGAAGTTTGCCGAGATCTTGACGAAGGTGGACAGGCGATCGGGTAAGGAGCTGGAGAAGGAGCCCAAGTTTTTGAAGAACGGAGACGCAGGGTTCGTAAAGATGATTCCGACCAAGCCCATGACTGTGGAGACTTTCGCGGAATACCCGCCATTGGGACGTTTCGCCGTGCGTGACATGAGACAGACGGTGGCCGTAGGTGTTATCAAGGCCGTGGAGAAGAAGGAACCAACTGGTGCGAAGGTTACTAAGGCCGCTGCCAAGAAGAAGTGAATAGTGCGGGATTTGGTTTTGGCGGAGCAGTTACAGGGTGTCCAGAACGGTGTTGTTTTTGGGATTGAAATGTCGTGTTGCAGTGTACGGTTGTTAATTTGCTTGTGTGCTTGTTCGATATACCTGCTGGAAGCTAGAGCGAGGCAGACGTGGGTACTTGACCGAAGATGGCAGGGCTATATGCCTGCCTGATGATTAATGCATTCTTAATATAACAGACCCAATTTCTCATGCTCAATCTCATATGTAATAATTTACAGCTCAATCTCATGTATTTCCCATGCTCAATCTTAACCTCTTCAATTTGGCCTTGGAACTATGTCCCAAGCTCCATCTAACAACATACAAAATAGTAAATTGTTCTCCACATAATCCTTCCTCATTTAACTAATTCTATTTCTTTTCGTTGTACTAATAGCTGAAGAAATGTCCCTTTTGAAGCTTCTGTAAGAGGCCAAGATCCTTCCATAATCATCAATTACACATTTTCGATCTAATTCATCGTCTGACTAGCCTTCAAGCACCACAATTACAATTCCAAAGCCAGAGTTCCAAGGCTTCTTCATATTGAGTTGAAAACCTAAAGGTCTTCATGAATCTTTTCTCTAATCATTTTACAACCTAAGACTTAGAACTATCTATGTACTAATAAAATAGATATAAAGTATATAACCAAATATTAATTGTTGCTATTCTTGTATTATCTACAAAATAATATTATAGCTATTTATAGCTACATTGTGATAAAAAAAAATCTTTGCTACTTAACCTTTGTAAATATGTATTTTTTCTTAACTACCTAAACCAAAGGCAGTGTTGTGTTATGTGAAATCTAACTTGATGCACTAGACATCTAATTGTAGAAGAGAATGAGCTTACCTTAAAGTTTGATTTACAACCAAAACCTATGTATAAGGCATTTAGAAACACCCCTTTGCAATCTTGGATAAACTTCTAATTATCCTCAATATATCCTATTAATTTTGAAATCATCCTAGATATATCTTATTAAATTCTAATCATCTCTAAATAAATCTTAATCATATCCTATTCAAATTTTATTAAGCCATAAAGAAACTTTAATCAAATCTTAATCAAATTCTAACAAACTCTAAGTACTTATAACCAAACATTAATGAAATCTTAATGAATCCTTATCAAATCCTAATCAAATTCAAATAAAATTTTAAAAGAATCTTAAAAGACACTTAATAAAATTTGTATGAAATCCTAAAGGAATCCTAATCAAACTTTAAATAAATCCTAAAAGAATCTTAATTAAATCCTTTTCAAATCCTTATCTTAAATCCTAGTCAAATCTTTACAAAATCTTAATGCTTACTCTTAGCCAAATTCTAATAAATACCTACCAAAAATCATAATCAAATCCTATGTAATCATAATCAAATCTTAATTAAATCCTATGTTAAAATAAAAATCTCAATAACTAATAATTTAATTGCTGTCATTAATTAAAAACTTGTGCATCTTTCAATTTTTTAATTAAAAAAAAAAAGAAAAAATAGTTTAATGAAGATTAAACATACTGAATAGAAGAAAATTTTCATTATCTACTTAGGCATCAACCACCTTCTTCCTCCAATCTTAATGGCATATTCTTAGCACTGACATCTCTTGTTTTTATTGTTCAATTTCTTTCAAGATTGGCATAATTGTTGGAAATCAAGTCTGCTACTGGTATTAAAAAAATAATAATAATAAATAAAAAAAATGCCAATTTGCAGATTGTTACAAATATGAGAAACCTTCACTAGCCCTCCAAATTCCAATTTCCTAGTCTCCTTCCCACTTAAATTTCAATAATCTTTGATTAACTATTTGATCAAGCTTAAACACACATTCAACATAACTTAAGGTACTAACTCTAAATTTTTTATGTATAGATGTGCTACAAATTGCACAAAATACTCCAAAATATAAATCCTTATTTTTTCTTATAAAAAATGAAAACCTCCCAAGGGCATATTGATCAAAGCTAGACTTGTCACCAATTAGTGAAATTTGTGGCAATAGAGTCCATAATGGAGTCTTGCTTATTATATCTAATTCACTTGATCAACATTAGGTGAAAACAAACAAACTTGAATCTCTATTAAAATAGGAGAAATCTTCACTCATGTGCAAACTCTGGTGTGAATTATCATACTTGCTTTGATATCATGCAAATGAAAAACAACATTATCAATACTAAACTTTGTTAAAAAAACACATATCTATACATATATATATATATATATATATATATTGGTGTTACCTATCTCAAGATGTGGTCTTGAATTGATACCGTCTCTGAAAGCGATGCCCTATCAAGAAGTTATACCTATGTCACAAAGCGATATCGCTCACAGGTGGTTGTGCTTGGCCTATCTTGAATAGACATAATGGATCAGAAGCAGACGTGACTTGCACTAAAAATGTGTATTTGTGTCTTTCAACACATTGTCCAATCTTTTGAGACTAACTAAGAGACTCTCGGTCTGGTGCCCTTCAATAGCCCTACATGATGACAATCGCTTCATGTTGTGGATATCAGAATCTCCTTAGCAGGTAATGCCTCTGTGGGTCTGCGAGGTAGCTCTCTCTCTTTTCTCAACTCTCTACATGCAGGAACCCTGGATGAGTTGTAGCGCGAGACTCTAATACCCAAGAGAGATGGCATTCAGAGAGCCAACATGATGACCATACGTTGACACACAACCAATAATATAAACTAACCCTGCTTGCTTCATGCAACCACGGAATTTAAGCGGATGAGGCAGAGAGAGAGATATGGGGTAGAAATCGACGGGTCGCGGATGGATGAGACGATGACTGTCTCCTCTCTTTCTCACTTTCTAACGCACTGTCATTTCCACAGCTTTGCGTTTGATGGGAGTTGCTTTTTCAAGGAGAATGATAGTATGATCACGATGTGGAAGGTCCAGATTCGCTCTCCACTTTTGGTGTTACAGTATGTCACACCGAGGCCTTGCGGTATGTGGAGATGGAACTCTTTCTATACACTCTCTGCGTGCCGAGAATTGACCTGGAGCTTCAAGGCAGAGTGGTGGAGACCGTTACTCTCTGGAGCTTCATTTGTTTGAGGTTGGAAACGTGCAATGCTATCAACAACCAATATTGAATTGTCGGGAGTGTTCAGGGCCTTGAAGGTATGAAAGAATTACTGAGAAGTTGGTGGGATTGCAATGCTAAGGGCAATGGTTGGAATGAATGTATTGGAATTTGAATAACTGATCTTGGGAATCGTTTTCCCTCTCTGAATTGGGATATAGGGATTGGGTTTTTGAGTGCGAACGTCGAGTGCTTCGGGTTTTCTTCCATTCGTGATTGTACGACTGTGGAATTTCGCATATTGACAGCTTGATGAACACTCTCGTTGCCGAGAGTGTTATTTTGAATCTGGCATGTTAGAAAAACAGTGCTTCTGACCAAGATTTTTCTATCAAACCGCAATTCGACACCTTCTCGGCTTACTATCGTTGCTCTCGTTCCAAATTGATAATTCGATTACGGTATTGTACTGATAGTGTCTTAGACATTGTACTATCTAGTACTTCTTGGAATTACTAGCTCTCGGTTGATTGTTCACCAATAGAGTGCCAAGGGAAGAAATCCTTTCAGCTGAAGCAGATCAAATTGCTACGGCACACGCTGTGTCCAGATCAAGAGTTGCTTACGTGGGTATTGGTCACGGAAAATCGGGCAGAAGTGTTGTACATAATCTAATCTTTTGGTACTTGGGGGTGCATTCATGTTTATGGGTTGCAGGAAACTACTTGAAGGGTTACTGGCGTATCAGCTCTTCCCTGGTCCATTCCGTGTAAAGGAGTGGTGAGGCTTCAGAAGGGCTATGTCACCCATAAGACGGCTACTGACGGGGACAGCGGAGCATTTCCACCCAAAGCCATCGGTGAAGGGTATGATCTTTGACATGGACGGGACTCTTACCGTGCCTTGCATCGACTTCCGACTCATGTACAAACGTATACTGGGCGGAGATCATCCAGACGTCGTCAACAACAACCCTATCGACATCCTTCACGAAATCTCCAGCTGGAGCTCCGAGAAACAAGCTCGCGCGTACGCCATAATAACAGAGATCGAGCAAGACGCCCATGAGAAGCTTCAGATCATGCCGGGCGCGAAGGAGGTGTGCTCATTCCTCGATGCGCGTGGCATTCGTCGCGGCATCATCACCCGCAATGTGAACACTGGCATCGAATTCTTCCACTCACGATTCGGATTGCCCAAGTTCCATCCCGCTTTGGGCCGTGAGTTCACCCCTTGCAAGCCTCATCCCGCGCCATTGCTGCACATCTGCGACAAATGGGGCCTGCACCCCCACGAGGTGATGATGGTGGGCGACAGTGCAGCTGATGACATCGTCTGTGGGAATCGCGCGGACGCCATGACGTGCTTGCTGGACGAATCGGGGCGGTATCAGTCCAACGAGCTTGCGGACGAACAAAAACCTACACACCGAATCCAGCGCTTGTTCGAGCTCAAGTCAATCTTAGAGACCTGCTATAATCTGCCGCCACCGATATCATCTGATTTCCAGAGCCGCCTTTGAGGTTCTCTGCCATGACGCGTTGCAGCTCGCGCCGTATCGGCCAATCCCATCCATGGCGCCATGAATTCACCAGCAACCACGAGCCTGTTCGACATGAAAACTGCGTAAGGGATAGGGCTTCCGCGTTGTTACAGGATTAGGGTTTCAAAAGGATTGGTTTTTTTAAAACCTAAAATTGTTCATTCATTCCACATGTTGTATATGTATGCGTGTTCCTTCATTCCACATGTTGTTGATTGTGCATGGAATTTCAAGCACATTAATAGTGCACAGCTGTAAAGCGAATGCACTATTAATATTTCTAACATTGATTGATTATTTTTTGTGTACCCATGTGATCAATTATATGTGCCTATATTTATATACATATGCGTGGTTGTTGTTGTTGTTGTTGTTAGGTGTGTGTGACCAAAATTGCTTTATCAAATCTAGTTTAGTCTGTTTGAATGTCCATGATATCAACATATCTAATGCATTGAATGTTTTTAACTGTAACTTTTTAACTTTGATAAAAAGCTGATTTTAGAAAAATTATGTAATCTAATCCTGGTATTAAAAAAGCTATCAAATTCCTCGTCTAAAATGTCGGGCTATTTTAATTACGCAAAAAAAAAAAAAAAAAAAAAAAAAAATTTCACTTCAAACACAAAAACCACTGTCTAAATTCAAACACAAAATGAAACCCTACACTTCTACTCATCGGTACAGACCTCACTTAACATGAAATTAACGACTAATTCAACACTAACCTAGTTTAATTTAGGATCATGCCACCATCCGTGGAACGTCGTTTCAAGATCTGGATCTCATTTCTCACCTGGTCAGCATCCGCATTCAAATCTACACTTGAATTAGAAGAGAAGACTTCACTCTAATATCTGTAAACCTTGACTTGAAATCAACGAACTTGGATATTATTGACGGTCTCGCAGCGTCCTGGTCCCTTGGGCCGAGTCAAGGCGTCGGAGAAGAAGCAGCACGAGTTGGTCAGGAGAATCATGCCAAACAAATTTAGTAGTCGGGGTGCAATCGCTTGTTGGACATAGAAGCATGATGCCCAGCTTCACGCTACAAGCCCTTTGCCAGCTGCGTGCTTGCTGGAAGGAAGCTGTGGGTGCCGTGATGTCCCACTGATCATCACCGAGGAGCCGAGGTTTGAGTCCTAGTGGGACAGACTTGGCCTCAAGCGGTAGCATTCACGACAACCTTGTGCGTGTGCGTGCGTGTATTGGAGCATTGGAAACTTCGGTGATGCGTTGATGCACGATCGAGCTACACGCGAATGGTATTTGATGGGATGGGTTCGGATGGTTTAAGCTGCACGGATTATTTATTTTTTTAGCAGCTAGCATTTGGGGGATCGGAAGAGAGGGTTTGTAGCGTTTTCGGGAAGGTTTGGAGCTTCTCTTAGGGATGGGAGAATTGGGTGTTTCGTAGGAGGGCATGATGGGGTGGCACTGAACAAGGAGGGCAGCCAATGGAGCACCCTTTGGAGTGCGCAGATTCTTGTAGTTTAGCTATGAGTTGGTTCTGTAATAAGAAATGTAGAGGGTGGGGGTTAATGAAGCGCACTGTTGTGGCTTCTGGCTTAAGGTCTGTCGTGTTACTGCTGCTATTCATCTATTTTGTTCAAGATGTCACTGCGGAAATGGGTCATCAACGAATTTCAGGTACCGCATTTGCATGGCTTAGGGTTTCTTATGTTCGGGAATGTTGTGAATATTGATCGTTGCGCAAGGAGCCTGGCAAGCTGGCTTGGGGAAATAGAATTTATCATCTGGTGACCCGGGTTTCCAGAGTTTGTGCAGATTATATGGTGCATTTTATAAGAACTGGTTGATTAAGCAATTTGGAATTCTTTGGTAACCCACAGTTATCAAGCTCCAACTTGAGAAATCGCTCAAAATTAGTTCAAAGTGCGAGTATAGAGAGATAGTACATGCAGCTTATCCTGTTCAGTAGAAAGAAATTAGGCTGTGAAACTCAATCGCCAGGCGAACCCACTTATGCTCAATTTCCCTAGGAACTTATTATCTTGAAGACAGCTGAATATTGCTTCTACTAAATGAAAGATGCCATTTCAGCTGTTGCAAGGTTGTGTGTGCAACATAGTTATCCTGATTTTTCAGTGATGAACAACTCTTAATAAGGCATATTTCATTTTATTTCTGTATGAAAGTCCTACATGAAAGTTATACCATCCACTTAGATGACAAGGACACCTGGTAAATTCTTTGCAGGAAGTGCGGGTGATGTGCTGGAGGACAACCCTGTTGGCCGTCTGAAAGTTTTTATCTATGACATTCCGAGGTATTTATTTTTTTTGAAGCTTACGAGCACCATCTAAGAGATGAAATCATATCCAATTCTTTTCGCTCTGGTATTCTGAATTCTATTAAGGTTTTTACGTTACTGTGACGCTCTTTTTACTGTTTGATATGACACGATGTCTTTGGGAGGGTTGCTTCATAAGATATAGAATACTGGAGTGTATCTAACCTAGCGATGGTTGAACTTTGTTGTCCTACAGTAAATATAACACTGATTGGTTGAAAAAGGACCCTCGCTGTCTTACACACATGTTCGCTGTGGAGGAGTATCTTCACGACTTTTTGACGGAAAGCCCTGTCCGGACGTTGAATCCTGAAGAGGCCGACTGGTTTTACACTCCTGTGTACACAACATGTGATTTGACTCCAAATGGGCTTCCTTTGCCTTTCAAGTCACCCCGCGTTATGAGAAGTGCTATCAGCTACATTTCTAGCCACTGGCCGTACTGGAACAGGACAGATGGAGCAGACCATTTTTTTGTTGTACCACATGATTTCGCTGCTTGCTTTCATTACCAGGTATTCAGAAATTTCACTTTCATACGCAATTTTGTCTTTTTGTGCCTTCGTTGTGATTACAGTTAACGTCCTGCACCCGTAGGATTATGCACGAATCCTAGAAGGCACAGATGATCAAAGAGGGATGTGCTTCCACTGACTCGTGAAAACATCTATTTCCTTCTTTCTAGTGACAATCGGAAGTAACAGAATGAGGCTTACTTTTAAACCATTTTTATATTACAATAAACTTGCGCATTTTTTCTGATACAGGAAGAAAAGGCCATTGAGAGGGGTATTCTCCCACTGTTGAAGCGAGCAACGTTAATTCAAACGTTTGGCCAGAATCATCACGTTTGTCTCAAGGAAGATTCAATTGTTATCCCTCCGTATGCTCCACCTGAAAGGATGCAAACCCGGCTGAATCCGCCAAGCACCCCACGCTCTATTTTTGCATATTTCAGAGGTTTATTTTATGACCCTGGCAACGATCCTGAAGGTGGTTATTATGCTCGGTAAGGTTTTTACGACTACTTACTATTTTTATATGTAGTATTATTTGTTTATTTATTTATTAGTATGCTTTTTCGTTCTATAATCTAAAAGAAGGTTTTCTTGGGTTGTGTTCATGTGTGCTAAAGAGACATGACCAAAACTTTCAATGTGGTTACTGAAGTATCAGTCTACTCTCTCCCGACATGCATGCAAGCTAGTTTTTATTCATCTTTTGTGTATTTATTCTTTTGCTTCCTCTTGGTTTGTTAGACATACTGAGTTCTTCATTGGATGATTCTTTGCAGAGGCGCAAGAGCAGCTATCTGGGAAAATTTCAAAGATAACCCATTGTTCGACATCTCGACAGAGCATCCAGCAACTTACTATGAAGACATGCAACGCGCAATTTTTTGCTTGTGTCCACTTGGTTGGGCTCCCTGGAGTCCCCGGCTTGTTGAAGGGGTGATTTTTGGTTGCATTCCTGTCATTATTGCAGACGACATAGTGCTTCCTTTCGCTGATGCCATACCATGGGAGAAGATTGGGGTGTTTGTGGAAGAGAAAGATGTTCCTATACTGGACAAAATATTGTGTACTATTAATCATGAGGAGGTGCTTGAGAAGCAGAGACTACTGGCTAACCCAGCCATGAAGCAAGCCATGCTTTTCCCTCGACCTGCAAAACCTGGCGATGCATTCCACCAGATCCTGAACGGACTGGCTCGAAAGTTGCCTCACGATCCTAGTATTTACTTACAACCAGGCCAATCGTTCCTAAACTGGACCGAGGGTCCTCCTGGCGACCTGTATCCTTGGGGCAATGATTTGTAACACTACTTAGGAATCGTGTTGTATTCCGTACGAGTCTCATGTCACCTGCACTGCCAAGAATCACCTAAAATTGTTTCGGACCTCCTCGCAGCACTGGCAGGGTCACCCACTATCTCGACAATACATGAGTTACCCAATTAAAGCAAAGAACTTATATGGACTTAAATATTTAAGGTTGAATTGCGAATCAAGCTCTGTATTTTCGAGCGACTCATCTGGTCATAATCTATCAGGGGATTATCAGAATGAGGGGTGTCTTTTTGTGCAGAATTTTAAGGAAGAAGTAGGAAGAATTCTTTCAAAACTTCCCTTGTTAACTGCAAGCACTAGGTGGTGAAGGAAAGTTAACACTTTTCCTTGGATAACCTGTACTAGAACTTATTGTGTTGAGAATTTTGAATTAAAACTTCAAAAGCTGATATATGTTGGATGCAGCACCTTTGAGGATTAGACGGAATATTTTTGAAAACTATGCAACATTCATCGAACACTAGGAGAGCTGCCATATTTTTCCAAATACGAGGTTGAGAGAACAAGATAGAACTACAGCAGCTGAAGGGTTTAGAACTTCAGGCTCTCCAAATCTTGATGTGTAACCAATGTGTGAAAAGGTGAGGTTTTGAATTTATTTCCTATTGATTAAATTTTCGAATTCAATTTGGAAGTATGAAGTTCTAAATCAAAATTTTAAAAATTTACATATTAAGATAGGATTAGAAGAGTGTGTTTCTTTTTTCTTCCTTCAAGTTATTTTTAGTCATTTTTAATCTTGTAAAAAAAAATCATAGTTTTAATAAAATATTTATTGATATGACTAGTTATCTTATATTCTTAAACAATATACTAATATTTAGCAAATTTTGGTGAACTTTTAGTTGATAACAATATCTCCTTATTACAATATAAATATCAATGAATTTCTTGTATGACAGTTGCAAAATATTTAAAATTGATGTCTTTAATTTTATTCTATTAAAAAGTAAAATAACGGTTTTTATTTTAACTTGTACCAAATAAAACGTTGGTTTTTTACAAATAACTTCTTGGATAGATGATAGATTCTTTGTTTTGGCATATTAATCCAATAAAACGTATTATGGTCATTATCATAAATAGCATTTTAGACCATATTTTTAGTAAGATGTGCAATCACTTGAAATAAAATATTGAGATATGTATAAGAATTTGGTTTTTGTTCATGATAGTTGAGTTTTTATAAGTACTAAATTGTTTAGACAAATTAATTATTGTACTTGATAGATTATTGAGATTGTTCTTAATTATGTATTTGCAAGCTACTCAAGTAAAAATACTATATTCAATACTTATTATATTGTATTTGAAGAAAAAATTGAGAACTAACTAGAATTACAAAAATAGATATTTTGAAGAGTAAGAAGTTTTTTTTTTTTCTCTCTCTCTCTCTCTCTCTCTCTCTCTCTCTCTATATATATATATATATATATATATATATATATATAATTACATTTTAAGAGTTGATTATTTTTATTATTATCCGCTAGTAATATATTGTCTTTCAATAAATAACTTTCTTGGAATACTCACCAATATTGGCGAATAAGAAGTACTATTTTAAACCCATTTCAATATAGAATGTTTCATTATTATTTTTATAGTAGTTAAAAGTGAAATAATATACAAAATTATATATTTTCATAGATTTTTTTGGATGTATACTTAATTTTTTATTATATATATATATATATATATATATATATATTAAAATGTAACTATGAGCACCATATGTGTATTAAACATAAAAATCAAAACAACAAATGCAACTCGACTTTTCCAATATATACACCTTTGCTCACATTTACTGCTTTTTAATGATTATATTTGGTTTGTTTCTTCATCGTTGTGTACACACATACATTGCAGTAACCCGAAATGGTGACGTATTCGCAGATGCCAGCAGGGCATGTAACGTCGGACAGCTTGGACTGCCAGAGTGGACCGCCAGAGTGGACCGCCAGAGTGGACTGGTCCATCTCGTAACCCTAGCCCTAATTCCAAGGCTGGCCATAACTCTCGCAGGGTGGCCATAACGAGGAGCACGCACCATCGGTCCTCCTCTCCCACTCTCGCTCTCCCCTTGCGCCTTAGTCGCCCTCGCCCTCGCCTCTTGTGCTTCGTCGCATCTGTTGTTGTCGCTGCTTGCATCATCTGCCAGCATGGGTCACGAGGCGGTGTGGAACTCGCACCCTAAGGGCTACGGCCCTGGCTCCCGCACCTGGTAACGGTTTCAGTCCTTCTTTCGTTTTCCCTTTGGTGTCCTGCATGCCTGCTTTGAATAAGATCCGCGCTTCGTGATTCTGGGGTCGGGTAATTAGGGTTTCGGTTTTTTGTAATCGGCTTCGATGTTAGTGCTGACGGCGCAGTGCAACCTCCTCAGCTGGGCTTGCAGTCGCAGCTGTTTATACGATTGACGTTCTTATCCTTAGACTGGTCTAGATGCGTTCCAGCGCCCGCCGGCCCTCATGGGCTACCTGCAATGTTTAGTCGCGCTTGTGAAGATTTTGTAAAGTCCAGTTGGATTCGATTAGTGCAGGATTCATCAAGACTATTATGTTCTAGTGATAGGCAGGTGGTCTGCCGTCGCGCTGTAGATGTTGAAACCCTGTTGTTGATGGTTGTTGCATGATGTTTCTTGTTTTTGTTTAGGTTTCGTGTATGAACTGCGAGTTCGAGTGCAGTCTGTTGCTAATTAATCTCAGTATAGTGTGGCGATTTCCTGTATGTACGCAGCCTCTCGTCTAAAGTACTGTGTGAAGATGATGATGTGGTGGATTCTAGGTTGAGACTGTAGGGTTAGTTGCCCAAGTAGCATTGCTTTTTTGGCCTCTCCTACATGGTGCAGTGGTATCTGATTGCCTTGAGAGCATCCGGTTACATGATGACATTCTAAGTAGTGAAGCCCAAGTGCAATACCTTTTTATATTCTCGCTCGGTATTTTACAACTGGACTCGATAACCATTTGTGGGTTGTAAAGAAATACACTATTGAGAGTGACTGAGTTGTTTTTTCCTCGTTGTAATGATCCCGTTCATCGGTCAGAAGTCCGCGCTTTGGGCACTGTCTGATGGAGTCGATAGCAGTGTGAATTACATCATGCTGCGAAAACTCATACAGTTTGCGGGATTCCTTTGTGTGTGCAGCCGGGTGTGCGGGAACTCATGCGGAATGATTCGCAAGTACGGCATCAACACTTGCCGTCAGTGCTTCCGTATCTACTCCAAGGACATTGGATTCGTGAAGGTATTACTTTTTGTTCAGTTTTTCTTGAACGAGTTATTTTCTATCGCGGGTTTGCAGAACACAACGATTTTTCGGTGAGATCGTGCACTCTTTTGGCGTTTTAATTATTTGATTTCAATGCGTTGATGTTGCCCGACTGTGTTCCGTGTTCCAGTACCGCTAAATGGGAACGCGGAGCGCTCATATTTTCTGCTGTGGCGCAGTGGAGTTAAGAAATAGGTGATTTGTACTGAGGCAACCAATGCTTTGAGGAGCTCTTTTAAACGGCTGATTACGCTATGGATATTTTACCTGAACAGAGTCCATGAAATTGCCACCCATGTTTGTGTTCATGTGTGTGTGCGTGTGTTGTGTTTCCCTATATTCTCAGTGACTTACCTCATGGCCGTCACACTTGCGGATGAGTTTCAGTTTGCAGGCTGTATGTTCTGTGTGATGAGTTCTTGTGTACTGAATTTTTGCCTCGAGCAATAATTAGCATCCAGAGTCGGTGGTGACTGATTAAAAGGTTTTCTGAAGTGGCTCCTCTTTCGTTTACAGTGGTAACCTTCGCATGTTACGCCTATTGGTAGGCCATGATAGTGTATGTAGTACTTGTGAATTTAAAATCTTAGGATCTGTGAATGGATGGGTTAACTATCTTATATTTTTCCTACTTTTAGTCATCGGACTGTTCTGTGTACCCTGTTTGTGGAAGTGGGGAATGCAAAGGTTTGGTCAATGTAAGATACGTGACCACTAAGGGCATGTCGATACCCCACAACGAAGGTGGAACTTTTGGGTATTTTTGCGGCATGTCTTCAAATTGGATTAAAATTCAGACAAAACGTTCTAGCAATGAAAGTTGTAGGCTCTAGATGTGAAATGGTGGGTTGAATACCCGTGGTGAATCCTGTAAATATCATATGAAACCTGAATGGGAAGGTGTGATTGGTAACGTTTGCAAAGGTGTTGTTTGATTGGAAGGCTACTATGATCATACGTTAACAGTTATTGGATGCTTCAAAACAGACTAATTCTGAGGAGACATGTCAAATCTGTTACCGTTGCACAGGTTCTGGGGCTTAAGTAGAATAGGGTACAATTGCAAAACTGTGACCACTTACCCAGAACTATCTAGAACTAGTTGTTTCACAATTTTACAACAAGCCGTATGAGTAATTCATGGCGCAAGGAGCTCCGAAAAAGTGGCCTGAACGGTGGCCTAACATTTAAGGAAAGAAGTTGGTAAGATGGGAGAGGGTTCTTTCTGAGGGATTTGGAAGCAGAACAAATGAATATTATTTAAAGAACGTAAATAAAAACTGTTTATATACGTTGTCTCTATGTCTAGGAGAGCAGTATTCTAAGTTTGAAATTGTTGATATCGAAAATATCTTTATTTAAACTTGTTTTTTATTAAGGAAATCTAGCAGGAGGTAACAAATGGAAGAGATGAGGCGAAATTTGTATTCCTCTCACATAGCATGACTAGTTTTGCACACATAGTTCCACTTCAGGAGGTGGTAATCCACAAAAAGTTAAGATGCTTTGTGAAAGACTGCTTCATATTATCACTCAAAATCTTCAAAAGAATTTACAGCATCAAACTTCTTAAAATTGAGATAGAATGTGAAAGATTTTTGAATCAAAATAGTTTATCTTCCACCCACTTGATTGCCTATTCTCACATTTTATTACTTCAAAGACCAGATCTTTTTTTCAGGATAATTTCTTCACTAAGAAACAGATCTTCACAAGATTTTAATACCAGGATCTTTTAAAGTGGGCTTTTGGATCTTAACCCCATCTAAAAGCGAAAATCGATGATGTAATACTAAATAAAGTAACTTATTTGAAGGTTACGGTTTCAAGGACGACTAAGAAAATAAATATGGTACCAAGAATAATGAACGAAATATAATACAAAACCATGTCAATACAAAGAAACAGTGCAACCTGTATTTTGAATGTGAATGTAAATTTAAAATAGATGACTTGAATTGTGTGCAGGTTTTGATATTAATATAATATGGTAACAACTCACAATATTTAAAAAATTGGATATAAAATCATAATATGTGAGTGACTTTAATTCGTAGAGAAAATACAACGTACAAAATTTAATTCAAGATATTTGAAGATTTAATTTTTTATTAAATCAAATTTACAGGAGATTCTGCATGCATCCATGCAAGTATGTATATATATATATATATATATATATATGTATCTATAAAGTATACCATGCAGAGACTAAATTTTTCTTCAAATGATTCAAAGCCACTCAAAGAATAGTTATATATATATATATATATATATATTTATATACGCACAGATGCATAACTATAAATAAATAATCAAATATAGAGGGAATGAGATAGTTTATTTATTTACTGTAGTGTACTTTTATATACTGAACAGAATCAACTTGCTCCTTTATTAACGAATCACAGCGTACCATTCTAAACGCTCCATAAATGTTTCATTCTAGTATCTTCTCATTACACAAATAAAATTTTGTTTAGAAAATTTGATTTTGATTTCAAATTGATTTCTCTGTTTATCTGTGTTTAGTTATTTATTAGAATTATAGTTGTTTTTGGATGGTAGGCCTAAAGTGTATGAAAATCTATCTTTGAAGCATTCAAATTTTAACAGAAACAAATGCTTTAAATTGGAGAATCAAAGGAGTTAATACCATTGTCCTCTACTAAGTTTGAACATGACTGGTTTCAAGCAATTTCGACGCCCTGTGTTCTTACAATATCATAAAAATATTTAAACCTGAAACTATCACAATTTCCATACGGTTTCACTCTTGAGAGAATCTCATCTCATTCTACAATCGCATCAAATTTCTATATGCAAATCATTATAGATGCCTACAACGATTTCATTTTTTTGTGGATTTAAACAAATATTTAGAAGGTTGGTGAAGCCAATAATTTATACATATTAAAATAACCTCTTTCAATTATTATTTTTCACAAATTTGGTAGAAAATATTGTTCATTAACCACCTTTATTAGAGTAAACAATGCAACAGGTCCTGCAAAAGGAGTCTTTGCTTCTTTGAGAGCTAATCAGTAGCCCGTGTGGAATCATTTTGAACCATTCACGTAAAATAAATAAAATATTGGGTTTTGTAATTGAGCGATAAACATCCATATAATGTCAAGCAAACAAGTCCAAGAATTGGAATTGAGAATTGTTTGATTCAACCAAAGCAAAGTAATGCAAAATCAAAAGAATATTTTAGTTTTATTTATTAGCTAATCTTAGTGGTGCATTTGAGATGCATCTTATATTATTTACAAAATCACACTGTAAGGGATGAAGATTGTCCAACCACAATTTGCTTTATGAAACAACAATGGGCATTGAAAATGACAAAAGTATCCTACTTTAATTAAACAATAATTTTTAAAAGTTTATTGATTAATCGTTAGTATTGACATTTCTCATGTAAAATATATTGCATGCATACATACATACAAAGATAAAAATGTTCTTATTTAGCATAAAATGTGTTCTAAAAAGTTTAATAAACTAAAAACAATTTGATCTACACTATTCTTTTGTTGGGTATCAAGAAATATACATTTTTCAGATAATTATATTATTCCTTACTGTATTAATTTTATGTGATATTTATTTATGGAGTGCTGTGCTTTAAACTAATATTGTTCTTAAACATTCAATTAGTTTACACAAAACGTAATACCTTTTTGTTTGTTTGTTTATTTATTTCTGTTTCTATTTTTTGCTTATTTGAGTGGCATAAACTGCAGTTGCACTTTACAGTGCATCAGGTTATATTCATCAAGATCATTGCAGCACTAAACTGCTCCAAAAAAATAAAAATAAATCTTCCAACTCTTTTGTTAGAAGTATTAAAAGTAAACACTGGTAAAAAATTCTACTCACCATGTGTGTATATATATATATATATATATATGCACATACATTTCCACACACAGTCATAGAGACATTGCATGTTGTTGATTTGTTTAGTATATTTTACGCACTCAACCACAAGGTCTATACAAAACCACCCATGTAAGAAAGCATCACATTCGTCTGCAGACCACAAACACGCAGCTCCTGGTGCCACCGCCACAGCCCTGTTGCCTTTGCAAGCACAAGCTTCGCCGTTGTGCGTTTCTCCACAACGTCTCGTTTCAATCGCCGCCTCAGTGCTCAGATCTGCATCCTCATCTTGCGTCGAAGAAGCAGAAGAGTACCCACCTTAGGTAATGCTGCGCCTAGATCGCTATGAAGTTGGATCCGTGAGTCTACAGCTGACCATCCACAACACCCAGTGTATATGTGTATGTGTGTGTTTGTGGGGGTGAGTGTGTGTGTGGGTGTGTGAGTGAGTGTGTGGGTGTGTGAGTGAGTGAGTGTGTGGGTGTGTAGGACAAGAACAGGACAATGGTGGTGAGTTTGAGGATGCCTAGTGACAAGTGCCTCGCAGTTTGAGGCCGAGGGCAGGAGTCAAGTCAGTTCTAATCACCGTATTTTTAAGGCACACATAGGCACACTCACCTTGACTTGGCCGCTCACCATGAGCTGGTCATCGCTGGGACTGGGTCACCACAGGGTCTGTCCACTACTAGGTTGATGACGTCGCAGCTGGGGACGAGAGAACAAAGCGGGTGGGACATGAGCCAAACAATGCGTAAAGGACCGATAACCTGCAAGCCGTGGTTTTTTATTTTTTATATATTTAGGTCAGCGTCCCATGCACACGGGGAAAGAATGACTGCTGCTTTTTGGACCGCAGATGTAGAGTGCAAATGTTTAGATGCATCAGCTCACGTCATCACTCTCAAAGAGTTTTGTTTTTTTCCTTCGGCACCAGACACTTTTGGTTTTATTACCGCCACGATAGCCCTTCTCGTGTCTGCCTGTCTTGGTCGTGGCCTTCTAAAGCTAATGGAAGGAAGAATTATTGAGGGAGAATCCTGACTTTGGCTTGTGTCGTTCGAGGTGCACCAGGAGGTCTGGGTTTTCTTTTGTCCGTAGAGCTAGTGTCTGGTCGATGCAGTGTGATCATCGAGCTGGTGGGTGCCCACAGCCCGTGGTGTTCTGCAACTGCCTGCAACACCGCTCGTTTGAGAGTTTTCAATTCGTGTGGTAATGATTTGGCAGTCATCTGCGTGGCTTTTGACGGTCAACTGAGTAGTACGCCATTTGTCACACGAATTTTTCAAAAGAAATTCTTTCTGGGATCATAATGAGAACTTTCTCTCAAGCATGGAGCATTTCCTAGATTACGCAAATCACTTCACTTCTGAAGGTGGCTCATCTGAGGGAGGCTGAGGAAGCTGTTTTCCGTATCATCCTGTGAGAACCCGTCCAGTCTGTACATGTCACGGGACACTTTGTTGGTGCACTGGACAAAGGCTTGTGGTCGAAGTCGCCTTGGTCTGCAATCAGTGCTAGTCACTGTTGTAAATGAGATTTATATTCCTACCCTTTTTCGATGTAACGCGGTATCTGGATCCCTGTCTCTTAAGCGTAGGTTATATCAAGTGGTTGGATTGTTTCCAGGATGAGCTTTGCAAAAATGAGCTGTAGAGGACTGCTTGCGTTGACAAGCGGTAGGGTGCGGCAAACGCAGTCCATGTAGTCGGAGTGACTGACACTCTTCAATTCAAATCTGTTTGATTGTCAGCATTACAACTGGCCAAGCTATCAACCCAGTTTGTGATCACTTTCTGATGCGATCTGAAATCATATGACTACTGGAAGTACTACTTTCGAGCGATGTTTTCCTCTTCGTTCCTCTAATTCTTGTTGCCCTCCTATCTTTCTCTGAATTTTGCCCTTCGCCTGCGTAAAAAAACGAGGGCCAGGACCTTTCTACTTCTTCGAAGCTCGGACAATGAATGGGTTGTATCGTGAGTCTTCATGGAATTTCACTCAGTTGAGTCCGTTCTGGGAGGAGAATAAATTGTGAGGCTGCCTACTTCTTTATATGTTTTTGTCGATGCAGGAACTTTTTCTAGCTTCATATGAAGTGTAAGATGCGTAGTGTCTAGAGAAATTTTGCCCGTCCAGATCCTCCCGAGACGAGGAGTGTATTCGTCGACGATGACAAACGTGCTTAGTCCATCAAACTCCGGCCGTCTGGGGTTTCTGAAGTCCCAGCAAGATGTGTGGCTCACCCGGGGGGGCATTGTGGTCCTAATACTAGGCTCCTTCATGTTTTTCAAGTTCTTGATCGACTCGCAGCCGAGTCCCATTCCCGCCGAATTCACTATCGGTCGGCTCTCCCCACAAGCCTCAGCGGATTGTCAAAATTGTACTCACCCCAGGGTTGTGTCGACTGACCCCACTTCTAGGTTACCAGAATCGACGTTTCCCAATTCTTACCTCCCCTGCAAAGATTACGTGAAACCAGGAAGCAGCACTCATGATTTAGATGTCGACAAGTATTTCAAAGTATCGGTTGAGGATTCGGAGCTTCTCCATGCTGCTCAAGACGCTGCGACCAATCCTCTACCAGATGGAAAACCCAAAATTGCATTCCTATTCATCCTTCGGAAGGAGATCCCACTTGAGCCTCTGTGGGAGCGATTCTTTGCGGGAGCGGATAATGATTCCTACTCTATATATACTCACGCGAGCTGGTGGGTTAACCAGTTTCCGAACTCGTCCGTCTTCCACAACAGATCCATTTCAACCAAGGAAGTAAAGCGCTTCGATATTACTCTTGTAGACGTTGTCCGCAGATTGCTGGCATTTGCCTTGTTGGACACAGGCAGAGCTAATATGTGGTTCATGCTAGTCTCTGAGGCGTGCATGCCAGTTCGGAGCTTTCCTTACGTTTACGACTATTTCATGAACTCCACCACGAGCTTCGTCGAATCCTATTCTCCACTGAAGAGGTTGATCTCTTTGATCCGATCATTCCATAAGCCTCAGCTTGAAAGAATCTCATTTAGAATGCATTGGAGTTTGATTTTACTGATCTCTCCACGTAACTGAGTTTTTGCCTTGATTGAATTGTTGTAGGTTCAAGCGGTGGCACACGGAGCCCCTGTTCAAATTGGAGCAGCTTCACAAGGGTGAGCTATGGGTGTCCATGCACCGCCGCCATGCCGGAATGGTGGTCGGTGATGTCACATTTTACCGCAAATTCAAAGCCGATTGCCGTGACGACTGCGTCCTTGATGAGGAGTATGTACAGACTCTGCTCCATATCTTGGATCCCAAGGTGAGGGAATTACAAATCTGAATGCCTCATGCTGTGATTTGATGTATTTTTTACAGTCTCTGAATTGCTTCCAACCACTTCATGTCTAATTCATTTCAGTTAATGATAAAGGATCAATATGAATGAAAGTCCGAGTCTGCAATAAGAAGGGGAACAGAGTCCACGCGATGTGATGAGAGAAGTACTTGAATTTGTCAGAGTGTAGTAAGTGGGGATTGGGTTAAGTCTGGATATAGCCACAGATCGTAGTAAATAGAAGCCGCATTCACGTTGGAATTACTTTCAGGAGAATGGTGTGTTCTTGTAGATATGGTGCTCGAATTACATGATTCGTCCTAACATGGTTCTGCACTTGAGCATCAGAACTTCATGTGACAAAATTGTCCTAGTAGTAGCTTGCACTTCCAGATATAGCCCTAAATATCATAAGTACAATCCAGCACATAACTTCAGTGCTGGATGAGTCAGCAGTTGCGAATGTCATGAGGTTTATATGTCGGCGATGACGTTGCTTTCAGTTGATATCTCTTTCGCCTTAGAGATTGCTAGATTCGTATGCTAAACTGAAGGAATTTACCGTACGTAGCGGCAACATTGCTTTGGGAAGCATGTGGTGACGAGTTTGGTACTTCGCAAAGGTTATACCGCGTGGAATTAGAATTTGCTTTCAAGGCGACTGCTTGATTGCCACAATGTCTTAGTGGGGAGCCCTCGATCTATCTCTTGGCTCTTTCTGATCACTTTCTACATGAATAACTGTCAATTTATAATTGGGTGTGCATTGTGTAAACAATCAAAATTAGCAAACTCAACATGGCCTGGAGGTTTATATCAGGCTCAAGTCACCAGAAGGAATTTGACCTACGCTGGTGCAAATCTTTCTGGGTTAGTGTGTACAATCAATTTTTTCTACAAAAAATTTCATAGGAGTAGACCAATGTGTAGTAATTCGTTCAATAAGAAATTTGGAATTTACATGTCTTGATTCATAATTTTAACATCAAGGCAGATGAGGAGCATGATTAATTTGTGCACTTGGAGCGCGTGCAGGGAATCGCCAATCGGTCAGTCACTTACGCAGACTGGTCCAATCCCAAACACGGGGACTCCCCTTTGAAGCACAATGTCTCGCATATAAACCTCGAGCTGTTCCGGAAGATTCAGAACAGGACAGAAAACAGGGATGGGCAATATATGGACTCGTCTGACGACTTAAATCACACCATGCAAACGTGTATATACAACGGACGACCTAGTTCACCCTGCTTTTTATTTGCTCGGAAGTTTTCAGGTGAACCTGCAGATGTTGAAGCTTTAGTGAAACTCCCAAAGAGTATTTTGGGCTACTAAAATGTGCCAGGGATCAGTCGCAACCTCCTATAATTACTACCCTGATCCCTGTGACTGATAGAGACACAACAGAATTGTGTCCTTTCTATTCTAGGTAACGATTGTCAGTGAGGAGTTGCAGGGATTTAACCAGATGTGGAATGTAATAACTAGAGAAAGGTTTTAGAATGATAGTACATCTCTTATGCCAATGATGTGTCATGAGGGCGAAGTAGCAGATTCAATTCTTATCTGTACATAAGACAAAAAAATATAAAACGTAGCTGCGTTCACATCTAATTTCTCCACTGTTGATATCTGTGTCAGCAGACTGCTTACAAATTAAGCCACTATTGATGAATAATGCATTGCTGGGCTTTTCCCATTGCATTGAATCCTCCATATCTCAAACAGTAAACAGAATGTGAGGAAATTGAGCTCCTCTTGAAATGAAATTTTCATTCTATGCAATGTCTGTAAACTGAAAATTGATATTAATATAAGCTGAGTGCTTTTAGATTGACAAGGATTGTTGCATCTTCAGATAAAATGACAAGACAGATTGTATATAATATGCTACTTATCACAAAACGATGGGTCCGTACATAAGATGATAACTACAAACATTACTTATGCAACATGTTTGCACGCATTCAACCGGAAAGTAAATCCAAATATTATCTCGCAGGTTCTGAGCCACATTACCAGCAACCAAAATTCTTCTGAATGTTCAAAGCGACGCCACGTTCCGGTAACAAATGGTATCAACTCATCACCTATATTGACACATTGTTAAGGCATTGCAGCAAGAATTATAAAATAATCCAAAGAATGGATATTCTAATACACATCAATTCAACATGCTTTGTAACACTTGTTATAAAGTGCAAAACTAGAAATTCCAGTTCACATTATGTAATCCGAATAACTTGTTGCCCTTCCCAAATCCATGTGAAGTGCACTTAAACAGCTCAGACGAGAATTCAAAATTTCTCCTTGACGTAATGGCTTCGTTGCACCCTCACATACATATAACACTAACCATACCACCAGCACAACGTCCTTTCCAAAGACACCATCACTAGCTTTATGTCCACCCCAATGTCGAGGCCACATAAAGTACTTTATTCACGTATAAATATAACATTCACTGTCGCGGATCCGACGAGCCCTGCCATCTTCTGTCCAGTACCCAAGTCTGCCTCTGCTTCTCCCTCGCCTGCAGCAAGTATATTGAACAAGCACACAGGCAAAACAATAACCGCACCCTCCAAAACAATGCCGCAACACCAAACCCAACCCTGACCCGGTCAGCCCCTAACTGCTTCACCCCGCTCGTCTCCAGCAATATTCACTTCTTCTTGGCAGCGGCCTTAGTAACCTTCGCTCCAGACGGTTCTTTCTTCTCTACCGCCTTGATAACACCCACAGCCACCGTCTGCCTCATGTCCCTAACCGCGAAGCGTCCCAATGGTGGGTACTGTGCAAAAGTCTCCACAGTCATTGCCTTTGTCGGTACCATCTTCACGAATCCTGCGTCTCCGTTCTTCAAAAACTTGGGCTCCTTCTCCAGCTCCTTACCCGATCGCCTGTCCACCTTCGTCAAGATCTCGGCAAACTTCACGGCAATGTGAGAAGTGTGACAGTCCAGCACCGGCGCGTAACCGTTTCCGATCTGTCCCGGGTGGTTCATGATGATAACCTGGGCAGTGAAGTTGGCGGCCTCCTTTGCAGGATCGTTCTTCGAGTCCGAAGCCACGTATCCTCTCTTCAGGTCCTTCACAGCCACGTTCTTCACATTGAACCCGACGTTGTCTCCGGGGTGCGCCTCCAACAACGACTCGTGGTGCATCTCCACCGACTTCACCTCAGTCGTCAGTCCAGTGGGTGCGAAGGTAACTAACATACCCGGCTTGATGATTCCAGTCTCCACACGTCCCACTGGCACAGTTCCAATACCTCCGATCTTGTAGACATCCTGGAGGGGCAACCGCAGGGGCTTGTCAGATGGCCTCTTCGGCTCTGACACGTTGTCCAGGGCCTCCAGAAGCGTCGGACCCTTGTACCATTCCAAGTTCGTCGATCGCTCGATCATGTTGTCACCCTCGAACCCTGAAATGGGCACGAACGGAATCTTGTCCGGGTTGTACCCCACCTTCTTGAGGTACGTCGACACCTCCTTGCTGATCTCATCGAATCGAGCCTTGCTATACTTCGGCGTCGTCGCGTCCATCTGCCACCACCAAGGCTGTCATTCCACCGAACCACTCCACCCCACATCGCTCGTCACCCAAACACATGTTCAATCCCTCAATCGATTTCTAACACCCTTACGCTGCATAAAAAAGAAACATCAACATATCACGTGCCTCCACACAATCTCAAACTCCCCCCACCTTGTTACAGCAGCAGATCATCTGCTTCACTCCCAAGGTGAAAGCCAACAGTGCGTGCTCACGGGTCTGCCCATCCTTGGAGATACCAGCCTCGAATCCTCCGGTGGTGGAGTCGATGATCAGCACTGCGCAGTCCGCCTGCGACGTTCCCGTAATCATGTTCTTGATGAAATCGCGATGTCCGGGAGCGTCGATCACAGTGCAGTAGTACTTCACGGTCTCGAACTTCCACAGCGCAATATCGATCGTGATACCACGCTCGCGCTCAGCCTTCAGCTTGTCCAGCACCCACGCGTACTTGAACGAACGCTTGTTCATCTCAGCCGCCTCCTTCTCAAAGCGCTCGATCACACGCTTGTCGATCCCTCCCAGCTTGTAGATCAGGTGGCCTGTGGTCGTAGACTTGCCGGAGTCGACATGGCCGATGACCACAATGTTGATGTGAACCTTCTCCTTACCCATCTTCGATTACCTGCAAAAACTCTTCGAGTTTAAGGTATAAATCACACGCTTCTCGTAGCGGTTGTCACTCTTAGAACACAGATTCTTAAAATTAAGGAAAAGCTCGAAACACCAAGTCACTTACTACGAGTCAAAACACAATAAGCAATTAGATCAAAACCCTAGAACTCAGTACCAAAACATTTCTGATGCTAATCCTTGCAAACTAAACGAAGGATCCGAAACGGAAATTAGCCATCAAGCACCCCCTTCACACCACGAATCACCAAAAAGCCTTCTACCAGTGGTTGACCGGGTGCTAGATCAAAATAACAGAACACTGTGAATTGGGGTGTGTTGGAAAGAAGGATGAAAAGAGACCCAAGAGTAGTAGAACAAGAGCATGCATACCCGGTGATGGTGGCGAGAGGGTGCGGAGGAGGAGAAGTGAAGGACGAGGGCCTGGACAGCTGAATTCCAACCTGCGAGAGGCTGAAGGAGGAGGAGGATCCTTTCGCTGCACAAACACTCCTCTTGTAGAGGCCCTTCCACACGGGCATCCCTTTTATTGCCAACCGCGCTTAACTACCACAAGATCGGCGATCCAAACGGTGCGAACCGCGCGGTCGGGACGACACCTGCCCAGTTAGGCACCCCGCGAAACCGCACCGCCACGTGTCAGCTGTCATGTCCCCTCGATATGCGATTAATGTTTTTGGTCCACTTTTACTTTTTGAGTTCTTACCACGTGCTTAATGTTTTGTCACTTTTACTTTCTCGATTCTATTCTGAATTTTCTTATCATTGGATTAAATAGGTTGTGCATAAATGTTATGGAATAAATTGGGTAGGCATAAATATAGGAGAATGTTAAATAGACCCACGCTTTTACCAAAATGATCCATCTGTCCTAACTATCATGAAAACAAATGACCTCTAGATTAATTTCACCACTAGATAAAAAAACCAATAAAAACCAACCACATTCATCATGGATAGGTTGATTTAATAAAAACTTGGGTCTATTTAACATTCCATTATATATATATATATATATATATATATATACACACACATACATACACACATATGTAAATCCAAGTTGTGTATTTGTATTATTTTCTTTCTTTATAATTGATATTGCATGTGTTTTGATAAACACTTGTATACTTAGCATGGTGTAGAAGTATTGATAAACACACAATAATCTCTTTTTTCTCACATGATATTTAGTACTATTTTTGTATCAAGTAATTCATTAAGTATTTGATCATTTAATAGAATTAGGAATGAATGCAAATTTTTGATCAAATTATGAGCACAATACATAAAATAAGAATATTTACTTTATAATTATTAGCTCATAGTGCATCAAAATGTGAACATTTGAAAACCAAATATTTTTTCATAAAATCAAGAAAATAATATTTATATTTTTATTAAATAATATAATATGATATTATTAAGAATAAATATGCCAAGTATTAATAGCTTCTCAAATGGTTATATAACCACTTGTATCAACTAGTCAAATAGTAGTAATAATAAAAACATATATTTTCATTATATATATATATATATATATATACTGGAAATCTGTGCCCTTGGCTACAAAAAAGCTGTAAAAGTATAATTTATAGTTGCTAAATCAAAATTTGACCACTCATAAAGAATTGTTGATTAAAAAAAAAAAACTAAACTAAACTAAACTATAAAAACTATAAAAAGAAAAGAAAAGAAAGAGAATATATACATAACAATAGAATCATTTGTAATTCATGGCAAAGATACTAATATATTTTATTTTTAATTTATCAAAATTAAAAAGGTCTTATATTTGAATTTTTAAAATTATATATATATATATATATATATATATATATACTCAATTATTTATGATTTATTGATGTAAACATGATGAATTATTGGCAAATATATTTTCATATATTCTAAACAAATGAAAGAAAACTAAATCATTACCCAATAAGTATTGAATTAAATTTATAAATTTATCCAAGTATTTATTTTAGCCATTTTAAAATTATTTTAGTAAAAAATTCTATAAAATTATTAATTTACATTTAAATAATTTTGATTTTTTTTCTTTCTTTCTATTTTATAGTACAATGTATAAATCATAATTAAATTAAGTAACATAATTATTGTGAACTGATTATTACTTGTTTCAAAATGATGAATGCAAGTCACAAGTAGAATTTGAAGCATTTAAAATTGAAAGAAATTCAAAGTATTTTTAAAAAGCTAAATTTTTTCATTTTAATGTATAATAAAATAGATAATAAAAAATAAAAGTATCAGCCCTAGAAATATATATATATATATATATATATATATATATATTAACATCAAAAAATACAAATACAACTGAATAGTTTTTTAAATTTAAAATATAATAAAACAGTATTTTATATTATTAAATATATTAGCTAGTAAATATAAAAAGATTTATATCTTTACTTATTCAAATTATCATTAATACAATTGTAACTGATAATCCTTTGATATCCATTATCTAACCATAATTTAACAACTTGCTATAAATGGGTGCAAAGAATTAGATAATTGGATTGATATAATTATTATTTTTAATGATTTTTTTTCTTTTGTTATAGATTTTAATGCTAAATGATATATGATACATTTGCAATATCTACAATTTACAAAAACACCATTAATTTTCTTGATTTTTGCAACATTAAGCAATCTTAAAATACTTGTGATCATTTCACAACTCAATATTTTTAGCAATAATAGTATTATTATAATTATAACGGTAAGTAATTTAATTTGTCCACTAATTCCAAAAAAAATCATAATATTCACTCAATATGTTTTTATTTGTATACCAATTAATTCAATATATAACCACTACTACAAAGAACTTCATTAATATAACCAAAATTGATTTTGAACACATTTGGCACATGGCATGAGTTTACTAATAGGATTTTGTTCTTACATGTCACAATTTCTTTGTTTCTTGGACTATGGAACTAGTTTAATTGGTTGAGTGAATGAGATTGACTTGATTTGTAGCAAATGAGGCACTATAGTTCTATTGTAATAGAAATTTTAGTTCTTTATAAGAAATGATAAGAACTCTATGCTGAATGATTTAGTTTGAGCATTAGTTAGAGGATATGAATAATAAAGAAGGTTCATTTTGGTAGTTGGAAGTACTCCTTTCTACTTATGGATTTGAACTTTGTGGAAGTAATTAGACATGGATATGATCCTGACTATCTCTAGCACATGATATCTTTTGTAGTCTCTGGCTACAACATTTTATGTCATACTCATAGTTTCTTATTTCTTTGTACTCTATCTCTTTAATTAGATGGTAATGTAATCTTTTGAATTGTATCACAAGTTTCTTCCGAAGTAACTTCATATTCAACACAACTTGAACACCATTGTCTTGTCCATCCAAAACATCTTGTTATTGGAGCTTCTTAATTTCATACATTGCTCATCAATTGCCACAAACTATCTTCATAAGATCCATGCAAACAATCCACCACAACATCTATCCAAACACGTTGCACCATCTCTGCCGCCACTAATCCACACACCCACAACTCCCATTTGCATATGCCACAAACCATATACTTTCACAAAATCATTGTGAGATCCTAAACCCTCTCGTAACACAAACCTAAGTCCATAATGGGATTACACCCTAATCTTGAATGTGTCACATACCAATTCTCATACTTGCCATGTAAAACATTAACAACATTGGAAAAACTAAAATAATACATTTCAAATAATACACATCTAATGACTAGGTATTTAGGGGATATATAATTAAACAACTTACATGGAATATAATAAAAACCAACATTATTAATGAGATGTGATATCTTTTTTGTTTGAAATTGATTAGTTGTATACACAATCAATTAGTTTTGTGTACATGAATTGCACAATTTGGAGTTAATATAAATTCTTCATGATTACATTTTTCTTTTTTAAAGCAAAAATAAGTTACTAGTCTTTTTCTTCAAAAGATCTTTTGCATTCTAAAGAGGGATCATATCATAGGATTTATTATATATATATATATATATATATATATAATTTCTCACAAGTCAAATGCATCTACAAGTTAAATCTAAATTTAAAAATAAGAAAAGAAAAGAAAATTATATTAAAAAAAGCCAAAGTCATTGGTATTATTGAATGCGTTATGATAAAACATGTTTGGACTTTCAAACAAAATTCAATTTTTTTTCCTAAATAGAATAAATTAAGGAATAAAAACATTGAACTGTGGACAAAATACTTAAAAAATGATGCTCATGTTTTTAAAAACATTATATGTATTCCAAGGAGAGGTGAATTGTGTTCAAGTCCATCAGAGCACAACAATTCAATTCCAACTCTTCCAGTACATTGAAACGTGGCACCTACTCCACTTGTCCCAACCAATATTTTTTCGTTAAATTTATCAAAATAGTTATTCTATGTCTCTATCTCTTTCCATCACCACTTAAATATCAATACAAGGGCAAAACACATGAACTGTTATCAACTTCCAAGAAAAAACAAAAACAAAACAAAACAAATCAACAGTACGAAGTTCAAAATCTATGCACTAGACTTTTTAAACAATAATAAGGTTGAATATGTATTCCAAAAAATACACGAACACATACATATACACATAGAGAGGAAAAAATCAACACGTTGTAAGTTGAGTACCTGGGTATAGGATTTCAGAGAAAAATAACTGTACATAAAAATCAAGCAGAATAACATAACAAGCCCTAGTTTCCAAACTCCAGTAAACTAAAGTTAGAAACATACATACATACATACATTACAAATAAATGATCGAGATAAGGTTCCCCTCCCTCCCCCCTCCTGGTTTCTGGCTTCTAGCTCTGTGGCCCTCTCTGTGTGGCAGGATGGCGATGGCGGAGGTATGGGCTGGAATCTGGGTGGACATTCAGCTTGATTGCTTGCCTCATTTGCATGCCCAGGAGAACTATTCTCCGCCGCTCCGACGCCCCCAGCACTTGCTTTCTAACGACCCTGACCTGGGCTGCAGGGACGCATGCGACGGGTTCTACAGTGGCACAAACTGAGACCTTGTCAATGCCGAACGCTGAGCTTGCTTGGTGGCCAAGTCTGGGACCAGCTGGACGATTGTGAGGTCGCTGGCGCTTGGGAGGTCAGGATGACCCGTTGTTGGGTACTGAACAAGTTTTTCTCTCCCCCTACATGTGAGTATGTGTGCGTGTGTGATGGTTGGAATCGGGCGGCACGTTTATGCAACAGTGACAAGCAGACACTGGTGAGGAAATGGTCGGCAGGAAATTACGAAGCATGTGTGATGTATGGTATTTTAGGTGTGCAGTGGGGGAAAAAACCACTGGACATGATAGTCCTCGCCTGGATGGGGATGACAAGTTCAACTCCCACACATGGGTGTGAGGTTGGCGGATTTGTGTCACACCCGTTGATTGGACAGCTCTGAGGACGCGGTGGACATGCTTCTTAACAAACTATTTTTTCCACGGATGCCCCAACCAGGAAAGGAGGTGAAAGAGGAAAGCAAAGTATTGTTCTGCGTCATCAGCTAACTTAAAAGTAAAGAATAAACCAAACGACCACGTCACTTCAGTACCACTTTGAAAAGAAGAAGAAAAAGACAAATCAACAACTGACGAAAGGAAAGGACCCACCATTGAGCAAGGACAAGTAGGGCTTGAGGCTCCAAATTAGGTTTTGATGGCGTGGGCTTTTCGGACATGTTCAAGGTGGAGCGTTTCTGTTGCTGCTTCTTGTTACAGTGAGAGGCATTCCATCACAAGGAGTAATGCTTGGAATCATGTTCGGATAAAACCGAAGTCTTGGAACGGATATTACCTTCTTTCCAATTTGAGTTGTACAAAGTCATCACCAATTCGCTGTCCACACCGAACAGCAGAAGGGCGCTTGGCAAATCGGATTGTTTCTTCATTTCATACTTACTATGAGAATGCGGAGCACACCGGAAGTACTCAATAGTATTTTTATGTAAAGAGTCATGTAATAGGTGTGAGTAAGTTCATGGAAGCGCATAGATGGAAGAACTGAATGCATCTTCAACTTCCCATGACTTCACCGACCATCAGCAGATATGTGGCTTGTGAGTGCTTTGCAACTTAGTCATGGAAACGCCCACTAGATCGCGGGTGAATCATTTGTAAGAATCGATTAAGCATCCTGATCACAATATACACCCAGTGAGCCACCATTTAAAAAAAAAAAAAAAAAAAAAAAAAAAAAGGATAAGAAAGAAAGAAAGAAAGAAAGAAAGAAAGAGAGAGAGAAAAAAACGAAACAGGCGCTGAGCTGTCGTCAACTTTGAGGTTTGTTAAAATCATCATTCAATCGTCGTTATAATCTTCGAGGGTGGGAAGCACAGGCATTGAAGGCCATTGACAGGGGAGCCGCTGAAGGTCGAGAGGTTTGGGGAGGAGTAATCGAGCACGAGAACCAGTGGATTACAAGTAGCCCCGCAGCAGCAGCGCCTGTGGATGACAGCAACATCGTTAACATAACTTAATCCGTACTTCAGTCTACTTAACAAGACACCATTTGTGTCATATCGCCAAGAGGTTGTTGAAGGATTAGAAAGACACAAATACTTGACTTACACCTGAGTCCTGCCTACTAATTACAAAACCAGCACTTTCTTAACCCTGCTCCATTTGAAAGCTTGACTCAACCCATCCATACAAAGGTTCTAATTTGTCACATGTAGAAGCAAGCGATATTTGGATGCGCAGAAACTTTCGTCCGAAGATTTCTGTTTGTGCTCAACAGCCTCGAAAGGACAGACTTTCGAATGATTGGGTAGTCAAACACAGTCTATGCATCGATGATTGAAGATCACGCAACTGTAAACTTCACATGACGCACATCCAGAACCATCATTGCCCCATCCATAGGAGACCTTAGTACCAACCAGCAGGAGCTTTGGACCATCTTAAAATGAAACCTCGCAAACAAAGACGCTATGTTCCTATGTCACGTGGTTCTGTCAGTATCAAGTAGGATCTCTCAACATCAGGCCAGCAGTGAAAAAGAATGTATGATCTTGACCAAGGCAGCATAAGCGTCATGTCGCTTGCGAGACAATCTGTTCCCGTCTGTTATTGCCTCTGCATCATATCCAACCAATTACCATGAGTACTGCACAGTTCCGCATGTTCCGACATGTTCGAGGTTGACCGCTTTTCTTTCCTATTTGCAGTTTTCTGCGGTAGTATAGAGAATTGAGATTATCCACATATCCTTGTTCACAAATCTTGCTAAATACAAACTCGCCTGCTTTCTGCAGTGACGCAGCTTAGCCAAACAAGAACACAATCCTCGTTCTCGAAGCAGACATCGTGCATCACTAGGAACCGAATCAAATAGAGATGAAACGTATATCTGATCCCTCATGCTCTGTTGTCATGGTTTAGATCTACACCAAACTATCAGATGCCATCGCAGTTTTAACTTGCCGAGTACATGAGAAACACGTCAAATGTATGAGTACCGTTATGGGGCACAACCTAACATTACTGTCGAAAACATGAGCAGAATTTCGAACTCCTTTGTAACCGACCCGTTCCTTCAACATTTCTTCATTTACAAGGCTGATGTTAGCAGAGATGACAGATTTGTGGTTTTGTTCTCAAACATCAAATCTGCTGCTACGTTATTTTCAATTTACTCGATTGAAATTGCACAAACCGTCTTCCACATGACAGCCTGCAAAAGAGGAGGCTCTCCATACATTCACAGAAAAATTATAAAACGACCGGCTTAAGAGATGAGGTGCATCAAACAGGTCCGCTGCTTTTCTAGTTATGAGACAAATCTTGCTCAGCGACAAAGTACACAGTGTAAAAAGTGGTCCCGTACTCACACACTCGTATCAGAATGTAGTGCTTGAGTTGGCAGACAGTAGGTGATTAAAAAAGACTTGATGCATGGAGAAAACGATGCACTGTGACATTACCACAGCCATTTCGTGCAAAACGAAATTGTTATAGTATAAAAAATTTTACAGTCGAAGACCGAGGCTCATAACCACCCACACTAACTGACAACCCAGTCTTCACAACCCGAGATCCACACCGAGTATTTGTCCAAGCAGCCCTTCACCTCCTTTCGCCGATTGCGCATTGCTAATAAAAGCAGCAGCCTTCGCCTTGATCTCCAACCTCAGCCCGAGATCTTCTGGCAATTTCTCTCCATTGTCTCTCCCTTCTCTTTTCTTAAGGCGAACCACTCCAAGCTCCTCAACCTCAACTCTGGCGCCATTCCGAGCACACACTGGACGAAGTCTCCTCAAGTACCGTTTCGTGCCCTGGTGCACAGACACAGCACTCAGATGCAAATTGAGGATAATAGCACCACAGTATGATTCAGGGTGCCAATGCAAACCGCCTCCGAATTACGTTGTGTAGAAGCCGTCACTTAGTAATTGTAATGCGATAATTTCGTACCGTGGCTCGCACCAGAACAATAAACTCTTCAAATCTAGTCGACGAGCTCGTGAACAGCTTGATCGAATACGTAGAGATAGTAATGACAGGGTGCAGAAGAGTACTTTATTTTTTGACCACCGCAATGCTGTATTATTATACGCACTCCAAAGCAAGCGATTCCCACTTCCTGCTGCTAAAACAAGAGTAGCGATAACAATGGAGTTGGTATGGTTCAGGACTGAGAACAGGGAAATATATTTGGGATGCTAGGCTCCAGGATCCTCTACTGGGGGAACTTTAACTCAGTTGGCGCATTCGCGAATTCGGTTATTGGCAATTTCTAAGTGAATCTAAAGCAAGAGAAAAACAAACAAACAAACAACCAAAAATAGTGTGCGTTTCAATTGTAGCGCGCGTTCCCAGAGAATCGCACATGATACTTCCAAAAAACACATAGACCATGGAGCTTCCGCCGCCCCATGAAGGTAAGAAACATAACGAACTTCTAAAGTGATGGGAAGAAACTCGGAGTCTCCAACGGACTTACTGTACTCGTGAAGAATGTCTCGCACAATGACTTGAACAATATTTGGTACGTGATGTAATTCTAAATGCAGCACAGAAGTCCCTCGCACCACTAATCTTCACTCATGCCCAATTTCATAAACGGACGTAGAGGTTGGGAAAACAGATACCTCAATAAAACCCTCGCGGAGGTCGTTCTCAACGAGCAACTGTGCCCAATTTCTCTTGTATTATCCGGCCTCTGAAAGCTCATCACCATTATCTCACCGCACGATCACAACTCTCCCTCCATCCCTAGAGATACATGAAAATGTGTGACATAAACTCACCAACATAAAACATGCACCATAATATGGTGCCGGCATCACGAACATGGCATGAGACTAGTTCAGTGGACGGCAAAGACTTCTGTCATGATAAACCCTTGGCTTCCAGACGTGCTTACTATCCAATTCCCATTTGCGCATGAATACCCAATTCCAACACTCACTCCTGCTTGTAGCTTCAGAATGCGGACGTCATATAACACAGTCAAAAATCACAGATGAATACATTGCTCAGCATGGACGCTGCTTGTTCCGTGACCACCAATTCTGTAGCCGCAGAAAAATTTGGCAAATTATTCATTTCTATAAAAATTAAGAACATGATTGTTTTTCAGCAGCATGTACACAATTGAATAGCAGTCTACGTAAGCTAGGTCACAGCTTGCGCTCTTGATTAACTCCGAGACGGCAACAAGAGCATCACACTCAAGGCAAAGTTTGTGAGAAATTCTTGGGTTCATGACACTCATGCATACGAACCGCTGAGGAGCTACAGTGAGGATCAAATTCTTTTGGTCGGAGATACCCACAGAGATTTAATCCGGTTTGGGCCTCGAAATTAGAACATGATAACGTGGGCTCACGAAGCCGCCACCCTTGTGCATGGGAGTCCTCATTAGGGCAGGGGGTTGCTTCCTCGCCCCCGCCTCCAGGCACGCCTCCCAAACGGCGCGTCTAACCGCGCCGTGAACCATGCGGACTGTCAAGCAGGGCCGTTCGATGGACGATTCGAGGGCGGAGCCACCAGCGTAAGCCCTTGAAGAGGGAGCGCCGCACGCTAATCTGTCGTCCCGTGACATACTCTCCAGAGCTCTCCTGCGAGATTAGTCGCCACTGTCGTTTTTTCCTACGCTGCTCGGAACCTCTGCCTCGTTTTCCAGGTATGCAATAACAATGCGGTTCTTTTCTGCTGAAAAATCTGGTTGTTTGAGAGCCTCTTTCGGTGTGAAGTAACATGTTTGTGCACTTTTATTAGGGTTTTTGTGGATCACCTTCTTTGTCATTCAGTCAGCCGGCGCGGCTGCCCAATGCGAGATGGGGTTCTTGGAGTTTCTCATGGTTGATACCTGCTGTCGTTTCCTTCCCTGTTAGTAGGTAGTCTTCACGTCCTAATCTTTATCAGAGAGACTGAAAGGTAGCTATTTTCTGGATACAATTTTTCTTTGCTGTGTACTTCGAACTTCGTATTTCCGAGATTCTGTGCTGCCTGGATATCTTACACAAGTTTGAAAGGTTGTGCAGATAATCGAAGATGGGTAAGGAGAAAGTTCACATCAACATTGTGGTCATCGGCCATGTCGACTCCGGCAAGTCTACGACCACAGGCCACCTGATCTACAAGCTAGGAGGGATCGACAAGCGTGTGATCGAGCGCTTTGAGAAGGAAGCGGCTGAGATGAACAAGCGTTCGTTCAAGTACGCGTGGGTGCTGGACAAGCTGAAGGCTGAGCGCGAGCGTGGTATCACGATCGATATTGCGCTGTGGAAGTTCGAGACCGTGAAGTACTACTGCACTGTGATCGACGCTCCCGGACATCGCGATTTCATCAAGAACATGATTACGGGAACGTCGCAGGCGGACTGCGCAGTGCTGATCATTGACTCCACCACCGGAGGATTCGAGGCTGGTATCTCCAAGGATGGGCAGACCCGTGAGCATGCACTGTTGGCTTTCACCTTGGGAGTGAAGCAGATGATCTGCTGCTGCAACAAGGTAAGTCATATCAAATGTACATTCATTGAGTTCGTCTCGGTACCGCATTTTGAATCATACTGCGACCGCCGATGTATGAACAAGGTCTACTTTGGTTACTTGGACCAATGAATTAGACCGCCTGACATATGTACTGTCTTATGTCATTGTATATAACCACCAACTTAGAAAAGCTAGAACCGTTTTGGAGTGAGAATAGGGCACGCATGGGTTGAGGATGTCCTTTTATTGACGATGTGTATGCCATGTGTGGCAGATGGACGCTACCACGCCGAAGTACAGCAAGGCTCGATTCGATGAGATCAGCAAGGAGGTGTCGACGTACCTCAAGAAGGTCGGTTACAACCCGGACAAGATTCCGTTCGTGCCCATTTCAGGGTTTGAGGGTGATAACATGATCGAGCGATCGACGAACTTGGACTGGTACAAGGGCCCAACCCTTCTCGAGGCCCTGGACAACGTGTCAGAGCCCAAGAGGCCATCCGACAAACCCCTGCGGTTGCCCCTTCAGGATGTCTACAAGATTGGAGGTATTGGAACTGTGCCAGTGGGACGTGTGGAGACTGGAATCATCAGGCCGGGTATGTTGGTGTGCTTTGCACCCACTGGACTGACGACTGAGGTGAAGTCGGTGGAGATGCACCACGAGTCGATGCCTGAGGCTCACCCCGGAGACAACGTCGGGTTCAATGTGAAGAACGTGGCGGTGAAGGACCTGAAGAGAGGATACGTGGCTTCGGACTCGAAGAACGACCCTGCGAAGGAAGCAGCCAACTTCACTGCCCAGGTTATCATCATGAACCACCCGGGACAGATCGGAAACGGTTACGCGCCGGTGCTGGACTGTCACACCTCTCACATTGCCGTGAAGTTTGCCGAGATCTTGACGAAGGTGGACAGGCGATCGGGTAAGGAGCTGGAGAAGGAGCCCAAGTTTTTGAAGAACGGAGACGCAGGGTTCGTGAAGATGATTCCGACCAAGCCCATGACTGTGGAGACTTTCGCGGAATACCCGCCATTGGGACGTTTCGCCGTGCGTGACATGAGACAGACGGTGGCCGTAGGTGTTATCAAGGCCGTGGAGAAGAAGGAACCAACTGGTGCGAAGGTTACTAAGGCCGCTGCCAAGAAGAAGTGAATAGTGCGGGATTTGGTTTTGGCGGAGCAGTCACCGGGTGTCCAGAGCGGGGTTGATATTGGGGTAGGTATCTTATGTTGGAGCGTGCACTTGTTGAGTTGCTTGTGTGCTTGTTCGATATACTTGCTGCAGGCGAGTGAGAGGCAAAGGCAGACTTGGGTACTGGACCGAAGATGGCAGGGCTCTTGGAGTCCGGAACATTGAATGTCATATTGATACGTAATTGAATTGCGCATGAGCTAAATATCGGCGTGGATGTGGTATGCTGTTGGGAAATGAGAGTGGTGATTGCAATGGAATTGGTGATCGTGTTCTTTATCTATGGTGCAGTTCCCGGTTATTTAAGTTTTATCATTTTGAAAAATTATTTATGCACCACCCAGAAACTTATATATTACATGCCGATAAATCTCAAGATGGAAATGAGATCAGGCTGCCGTTGTTCGTCAGCACTACCTTACAATCGAATAGTGTCACTCTCCCTCACAATTCGTTTGCCTCGGTCTCTAGTATCCTCTAGTATTGCCCAAGCCACTATGAACAGTTTGTGTACAGTGATTAAAGTAAAAAGCAATGACTTTTTAATCAACGACTTGGTCGATGCGAAGAAACTGGAGAAGTTTCAGCTTTGTCCATGTCATACCTGGAACGGAGATTGTAGATGGCAAAGGAGGAAAATGATTGAATACAATTGCTTAAATTATGATAAATAGTATCCTTGAAAATCTGCCCCAAGTTTGATTCGAAACTGGTTTTTTTAAATATTTTATGTTCGAAAAAACTTATGTATGAAGGATTCACTTAAAAATGAATGAAAATAAAACAAATGACTTTCTAATTAGAATCAAGTCCCATATTTGTAATAAAATATTTTTTCTACTTTATAGTGTCTTTTCACTTTATGTTATCTCCAAAAACTAAGGATTCTAATAGAGTTCTTCTTCACCAAGTGAAAGACTTTTGTAAGGTGTTAAGTTTTTTGTCCTCTTTGTCTTATATAAAGTGTAATATGTGACACAAATAGACATGACTGGAAGAGTCTTCATTATAGAGGTACATAGGAGGGACAACCATGCATTTAAAGTTCAATAACTATGAAATGCTGTTTCCTAACTGTTGTAAGTTTGAAAATATACTCTTGGTACAGGACAATTTTATTTTGCTTAGTTAAGGATAATGTCCTATACTTAACTAAATTGTCCTATATTAGAAGGGCTTGTTCATACATATATTGTAAAATATGTAAAAATATTTCAGAAGTATTTCTACAATAAAAATTAAAACACATTTCAATATATTTGGCATTCAAAAACTTTGAATACAAAAAAATAGTTTAATACAAATGTCATTTAGTATTCTAAAGTAAGTTAAAGAGACATGATGTTACATGGTGCAATCTATTATTGTGTATTAAAAAGAAGAGGAAATAAATCTAAGAAGAATAGACCATTTTTTAAAAAATATATATATTAATTGATTTATTGATATATATATATATATATATATATATATATATATAGTTAGTGGAGAATGCTTAATTTTACACTAATTATTAAACTCTAAATTTAACAAAAATTTGAAAAGTTAATGATGATTAGTTAGTGAATTAACATAAAATTTTAAAATGTAATATTTTCAATTGTCTTTGAAAGCCATTAAAAAGAACTACAAAAAAAATTAATAGAAGTAAATTGATTAAAGAAATTTTGACTCTTTTTAAAAAATTGGAGTAGTAATAGAAGTATTCTTGTAAATTCTACTTCAATGTTAATTGAAGACATGGATTTAGAAAGACTTATCAAAAGACACTATACTTGTGCAAAACTAAAAAGAATTAAAAATAAATAAAAATACAAAGAAGATATATATTTAAAATATAGAAAGTTACTAGAATAAAAATTATCAAGTGCAAAGAATCAAGAGAATCTTGAACAAAGATTAAATTGTAAAAAGGTGTAGGGAAGAGTGAAGATAGCTTCAATTTTTCCTTCATAGATACTAGCTAATAAGTAGGCAATTTAGAAAATTTCTAAAGATTGTATGACTTTTAGGTCAAATATCCAAGTTGTAGGGCACTTTTATACTAACTTTCTAAATATTAAATACTCATAGGAGAAATTTTTATGGTCTTGCGGCTCTTTTGAAGACATCTATAAATTTACTCAAAAATAATATAGTTTTAAAATTAAAATAGCTATGTAAGTCCTATCAATAGATCTTGATTGGTAGAACTGTTAAAAATATAGTTTTAAGTTATTTAATTACAAAATATTAGAATTAGAGAATCTTTTTGATTACTTGAGTATTTATTAGAATTTAGAAGTGTTAATTGGGTACAAGAGTCTTACTAGAGAAAATATTAATAGGATAGAATCTTATTAAGTTTATTATTAAGAATTATTATTTAATTATTGAGACAAATATCTACATAAGCCTTCTATCTTCATATACTAATTTTAAAAAAATTGTAATTATTAATTAGTAGTTAAAAGAAGCATGAGAAAGAACCTCATATCTTTTTTATTATTTATATTAGAAATATAATTTATAGTTGATTTAAATTTATTTTATTACTATAGAAAGCTACTTAGTTAAAAAAAATCTAGTCTTAAATTGATTATAGAATTTTAGAATTATTTTAATAATTTGAAGAATTTATTTAAAATTTCTCTAGATTTTTTTTAGGAATTTTTAGAATAATTTTTAAGATTTTAGTACAAATAAGTTTTATCACCTTGGGAGCCATTATGAAGAATTGGAGAAGGATTTGAAGGCCATATAAATTTACTAGGCCAATTAAATATTTTTGGAAACCACAGTAAAATCAAAAATAAAAAAATATGAATTCTACTAGTAGAAAATAGGACTAATGACTAAGCTAGTCCTTATAAGTAATATTGCTTGGTGTTAGAACTTTCTAACCTCTATATTATTGAATGGAATCAAATCAAAGAAACTACTCTATACATACTCAATTTGGAGATTAAAGCTCAATTTTAGACTATTTAAATCAATTTCCAAGTCTCACACAAATTCATTGAATTATTCAACCAAATCATTTGGCTTTCTCTAATTATTGTTGCTCCTAAGAAAAATAATAAACTCTATATTTGTGTAGATTTTTGCTATCTTAATGCTATCCATTGCAAATATATCATTATGTAGCTCTAACTTAGGTAGTGTATGTAGAGGCAAGAATGAGGCCTTTCTTACTCTTGTCAACTCCTTTCTTGCTTCTAGTCTAGTTTCAAAAGTTTTTGGATTTCTAGTCTTTGGTAATAGTCATTTTAGTTTTTTCTTAAAGATACATATTTTTTTTATTTCTATTTTTGTCATCTCTTGTTGATACAAATCTCTTTTAATTCCATATTTTCTTTCAGTTCTTGGCTTTAACAAACACACTTTGATCTAGATTTATTTTCCTCAAGATTTTGATTCTAGTAATTATATCTCCTTGAAATTTAGTTACATGTAATCATTTATTATATTATTGAATACAATTACTAGATAAACTATAAATTATGTTATCTTTGTAAAATTATGAATTTAAATTTTATAACTCATCAAATTAGACATTAATTCTTTAATAATGTCATAAGAATTAAATATTAATTTTAGAAAGTAAAGATAATAACTAAGTTGAAGATCAATTATTTCAAGTTATAGATTATGAATATTTCATGATATAAGACATTAAAAAAAGTTTGAAAAAAATAAGATATGTCACAATTACTATACTTAAATTCATTGTGGTACGCCAACTTCTTATACTAGTAGCAAATATCAAATTGAAGCTTCATGAGCATGTTTCTTTTTTTAGAAGATTTCTTCAAGAAATAGATTTTTGAAGGATTAGTAATTTGAGTTTTTTGTTTTTTTTGTTTTTTGTTTTTTTTTTTGTTTTTTTGTTTTGTTTTATTTTTTTTTAAAATTTTAAATAATAAAATATAATTCCACTAATATAGTGTTGATAAAGGCAAATAGCAAAGTACTTGAGAACCAATAAAATTGAAGGAAATAACCTTTGCAATAATTCTATGCATGTCAAGGACATGAATTAGAAGAAGATGCATAAACTTGAGAAATCTATGTCAAAAGAAAAGTGACAAAATAACAATAAAGTAGTATACATATTAAAAAGAAATTGGAATAGCTATTGCCAAAAGACAAGGAAACTAGAGATTCTTAAATCTAGACTTGAAGCAAAAAATGAGTTGACAAAAGTGAAGACGACTTCACTCTTGCCTCTATATATACTATCTAACTAAGAACTATGTGGTGATGTTCTATAGAACCTCTAATATATGTTGACTTTGTAAAACACATGCTTTACCTTACAAGACAAGTTTTCTATGTGTAGGCCACATAATTAGCTTATTCTTCAAGCTACCAACATGTGTGGCATATGACCAACTTGTTGACCACGTTTTTAACTTAAAAAGTCAATTATAGACACCTATAAAGTCAAAGCAGTATCTACAAAGCTTCTAAAAAGCTTCTATAGAAGATATTATGGAATTAATCTACTTTTATCTACTTTTATCTAATCATATTGGTTTACATGTGTATGTCCATAACAATGCATGATTGAACATGGTCATACAATCATGACCATTTATAATATATATTTTTTTATGAATTCATTATTGTAGGCATGTAATAATGCTTTATAATTGTATTCTACTTGTTTAAAGATTTTCAATAATAAGAAGCATGTAAAGTAGAAATAATAGAGATTAAGAATTTAATTAATGAATATTATAATTTAGATTGTTATAAGTTGTTTAGGCATTATGTGTAAAGCTTAGTTTATAACAATCTATTTTTTGTTATTATACTTAATACAAATTTAAGATATTTAAATGATTAAGTAATTTATAATTCAAGAAATATTGAGTAGTATCACATACTAATCAAGACTTGACTTTAACAAAAAAACAAAAAAAACACAAGCTTATAAGTCTTGATTATGGATATGTTCAATGATTGATTTTCACTTCATCTATAGCATCTAAAATAGAATTGAATTCTCTTAAAGATTTAAAACCCTTCCAATCTATAGTAGCATAGATCCCATTACTAAATAGGAAAAAACAAACTAGAACAAAACTAAACAGAATTAAACAAAATAAAACATAAAAGATGAAACAAAGCAAAAGAAAATAGAATAGAACAAAATATATAAAAAAATACAAATCAAACTTTATTGAGAAAAAGGGACCAAAACCATACCTAACTAAATGT